GATCCATTGGTTTGTCCAAGTGTACAAAAGTCTTGTGCACGAATGTGATTGAAATTAAAATATGTTAATCAAGGCACCGACCACAAACTGACTTTTCATATCATAAAAAATACAGCATGCAAAACACAATTATTTAGCAAAATGTAGATTAATGCAACGTTGTCATTATTGAAAAATCCGTAAAGTAAATAAGAATAATAAAGTGAAATGCTTGACTAATGATTATTGTCTACTATACTTTATTCGTAATGATGTAATTAGAAAAAATAAAGCACATTTTATTTGTAGGTTGCCATATTCATGACACCTCATTTTGTTGTCACAACTCACATTTAGCTCTTCTTTAACATCCATAAAATTTGAAAAAACATTATTTTGAATAGTATTTTTTGAGAATGTATAGTAAAAGGTAGAAAAAATTTTCGATTTATGTAGAATATTTTACTATGTGAATGTTTAGTTAAAAATGAGCATGAGAAATAAATTAAATTAAAGTAAATGAGATTACAATCATGCTATATGTACATTTTTTTGACATTAACTTTTACACTTTTTCATGTTGCAAAATCTACACTACTGAATTTGAACACAATCATTACATCACTGCACATTTCTTTCACATAGAAAAGAATATCAACCATGATGTACATATCGCTTAATTTATGAGGTTAAACTAGGGTGTCAATTATCGAGTGCCAGTCGAAACTTGAGGCTTGGGCTCGATTCGAGTAAAAATGGTTAGGACTTTTCTGGTTCGAGCCAAGTCGATCATTTGTTTGGCCAAATATCTAGATTCAACCCAAACTTTCGACTCGAGACTTATCGAGCCAAGCTGGCTCACTTATTTTTTATTTCATAGGCAGGTAAGTTAGTTGACAGTAACAGGCAGACAACTAGCTTATTTTTTCTTTTTCTTTTTTTATTATTTAGTAGGAATGGCTCATCATGGGTTGAAAAATGGCTTAGGCTGGCTCGAGCTCGAGCTGTGGATCTAACTTTTTTTGGGTTGAGCCACGGATAATTAGAGTCGACAAGCCAAATTGATACCCTTAGGCTAAACATAGCCTATTAATTACTTATCTATAGGCATTAGAATTGATGTATTTTCATATAATCAGTTGCAAAATTTTGACTTTAAATTCTCACCCTTTTAGGAAAGAAAAACTTGTGGCCTAGATAACAATATCCTTTGTGTAGGGTCGGTTGTGCCATTTTGACCCAAGATTGAAATCAATCGAGTGTCCTCTCGTTAAGTTATTAGTTTAATAATTAGCCGTCGTTTGAGCTTCATTATTTTATAAATATATTTTTCTCAACTTCTTTTTCACTACACATTTTTTAATAAAATAATAATATACGTAAATTTAAAAATTTCTCTTACTTTTTAACGACGCGTTTTCTATCAATTTACTATTTCAAAATGCATTCTACACAAAAAATGAGGTTCAAACATGCAATTTAAAAAAAAAATACTATTCAGAGATTTTTACCTTATGTGAATTTTTTGAGTGAATAGCCCAAATGGTCACTAAACTTTGCACCAAGTCCGCAAAAGATCACTGAACTTTCAAAATTGTCTAACTCATCACTAAACTTTTCGAAAAGTCCACCAAAGGTCACTGAACTTTCAAAATCGCCTCACTCATAACTGAACTTTGCATTTTGTAATCTCAATAGTCACTCAGCTAACGGTCCATCCAAAAACTAACCGAATACTCACGTGGCTGGCTGATTTGGATGCCAAGTCAAACAAAAGAAGTACAGGTGGATTTTTATTTGAATTAAAACATGTTTTATAAAAATAAAAAATTTGAAAATTCCAAAAACTGTTGTAGCAACAGTCACCAACGTAAACATGTTTTATTTATATTTATTTTTTTTTTATTATTTTTTTAATAAAACATGTTTTAATTAAAATAAAAATCCACCTGTACTTCTTTTGTTTGACTTGGCATCCAAATCAGACAGCTACGTGAGTATTCGATTAGTTTTTGGATGGACTGTTTGCTGAGTGACTAATGAGATTACAAAATGCAAAGTTCAGTGATGAGTGAGGCGATTTTGAAAGTTCAGTGATCTTTGGTGGAATTTTCGCAAAGTTCAGTGATGAGTTAGATAATTTTGAAAGTTCGGTGACCTTTTGTGGACCTGGTGCAAAGTTTAGTGACCATTTGGACTATTCACTCAAATTTTTTATTTACATTTTTGTAGGAATACTAATAATGATCAAGAAATATGTGGATATGAATAATATTTTTCATTGTGTGATTAAAATTAGAATATAACATTGATTGAATAGAAAAAATGAGAATCGAATGAGAAAATAATGAAAGGTGTTTTTGGTGTTCCATCTAAGTAATTTATTTATCTTTTTCATGATGAGAGGATCGGAGTTTTTATAATTAGTTTGAAAATGAGTGCAATTTCATTTTATCCCTAGAGTGACTTTGTGTTGGCACTATTTCGATGGATGTGTGCCAAGTTATTCTCTCTCTCTCTCTCTCCCCGTCTTTTTTTTTTCAAGTTATTGTTTTGCCTCTATTTTTTTCTTTTGGGAAACAAATACAACATCGTTTAATGCCTCTTTTTTTTTCCTAACCGCAATACAACGTTGTTTAACTCCTCATTTCATTTAAAAGACAACATTTTGAACCATCCCTATATTAATTGCAGTGTCTGAATCTCTATATATGTGTTTCTTCTGAAGAGAAGTGTTACAACGTACAGAAGAATTCCAATTCTTGGTAGATTCATGTGCTTATGTTAGATGTAATTGATTCTTAATATATATATTTTTAATATCTACTATATTACGTAGTTAATTAAATATGACATGTGCATTGCACATGCGTCTCACAAGTATTATGAGAAGAAAGGAGGGACCAAACGAGCACTAATCATATAGCACTGGGCTTGTTCAGTGTTTCGTGTGAATTGTGATTTTTGAGGCATCGCAAATCTCCCTGGGATTTTTATTAAGCCTATAACTTGTAATAATTGAATTTATAATTATTATTTTTTTGACATTTGTAACAAGTGAATCCTCCTTCAACAATTTTCACCCAACTAAAATGATTCGAATTCGAGAGAAATGATAGAATTCGGAGTATAAAATAAAAAAGAGATATATTACCTTAAAAAATTGACCATTTCACTATTTTTTCCAACTAAATTGAAAGCCAAATTCTTCGATTAATTGAAAATGTATGTACTAATACTTAAAAATCTTTTAGACTAAAAGACAAATATGTGATTTGACGTAAATAAGGATCTCAAAAAAAATTATGCCAAGAAGAAAGTGTTATTGTTAAACCAATATAATTAGTTCGCCAAATATTACTACTTCATAACTGAACTAAAAAATATATCTCAATAGCCATTGAACTGTGCACCGTGTTACCTATCCATCACTCAAATTAACGCCGTTTGTTGAATTTAAAGAATTTTTCCATTTGAATGATAGATAGATAACACGGTGCATAATTTAGTAATCATTAAGATACATTTTTAAGTTCAGTTATGAAGTAATAACACTTGGAGAAGTTTAGTGATCATTGAGATACATTTTAAAATTCAGTTATTAAGTAGTAACATATGGCAAAATTCAGTAACCATTCGTGTAACTAACCCGTTGTTAAACGGAGTGGTTTTATTATGTCTCAAATTTTCTTCGTCCTTGATTGGTTTTAAAAATCATATTCGTCTGTAGCATCAATTGAATCGAGGTAGGCTGTAGCCCATTTCCCTATGATGTTGTCTCTGATTTTAATCTAAATTAGGGAGTGTATGTATACTAAACTAATATAATTTGATACGGACTTAATTATAGGGATGTTATGGGCCTAAATATAGGATAATTATAGAGATTTCCAATTTGTATATTTTCCTAAAATAGAGCTCTAATTGTGTATATATACGTGTCTCTTTTTCAATGAATGTGAATAAGAAAATATTTTCTTCCTTAAATCTTTTCATGGTATCAGAGCAAAGGAAAAAAATTTACCTGCTATGACTGTTTCTTGCTTAGACCTTCGTCCTTTTTTCGGCATCACGCACGTTCCTCTTCAGAGTTTCAGTTGTTGGTGGTTGTGTAGAGTCCGGCCCCTAGTTTGTTTTTTCCATCTCCAGTGGTGCTGTTAAGTGTTCTCTCTCAAAGCCTTGGATCGGGTTCGCTCTAGTAGGTTGGTACAAATCCTGTTTCGATCACTGGCGACGTCGCTTGTAGTTTCGGCCTCCTCTGTATGTCCCTTAGGTTCTGATAACACTCGTGACGGTATCTCCCACGATTTCTGGTCTGTCTTTGCTGTTGGTAATTTGGATCACTGTCGTTCTTCTTTGGGCCAGGAGTTTGTTACAGTCATCGATTTTTCAGTTCAACTACTTGCAGATTTTTGGGCTTGTATTTTCATATTAGCTCGTGCTTGTTTTGGTTATTTCATTGTCTTTGGTTTTAGGCCTAGTAATTTGGGCTTTTATTGATTGGGTTTTTAATTTGTAATTTGGATATTGTGTTTTATTCCTATGGCCAAGCAAAAGTATTTAGCTGTGATCGATGTCATTCTAGTGATGTCCAAAATCACGGAGCATAAGTTGGATAATCCAAATTATTTAGATTGGTGTAAGACAGTTCAAATTTATTTGCGAAGTATTTCTATGGACAATCATTTTACTGAAGATCCACCAAAGGATAATATGTAGACATGGCTACGAGATGATGTCCGGTTATTCTTATAAATTCGTAATTCCATTAACACCGAGATAGTCGTTCTGATTAATCATTGTGAGTATGTTAAAGAATTGATGGACTATTTAGAATTTATGTACTTTGGGAAATGAAATATGTCACGCATTTATGAAGTCTATAAGGGGTTTTACCGTGCTGAACACAAGATCAGTCTCTCTACGCTTATTCTATGAATTTCAAATAGACCTATGAAGAACTGAATGTCTTGCTACCTTTTAATCCGGATGTTAAAGTTCAACTAGCTTAGCGAAAGTAAATGGTTGTAATGAGTTTTCTAGCTGGTCTTAATCCTCAGTTTAAGACTATTTAATCACATATTCTCTCTGGTGCTGAAATTACATCTCTATAAGAAATCTTTACTAGAGTACTTCGTACAGATACTAGTACTCCTACTGCGTCATTTGTTCAGCCTTCTAGTACTCTTTTCAATCGTAGTGGTAGAGGTAATACAAGAGGTAGGGTACAAGTAGTCGGGTTAATCGAAGTCAGACCGAAGGAGAGTTGTATGTTACTACTATCATGAGCTGGGTCATACCAAATACTCGTGCCGAAAATTGCACAATAAATCTCTGAAGTCTCACTCAACTCATATCACAGTCACTACTGCTACACCCATCCATCTTCTGAGCAAACAATTATCGTTTCTACAGATGAATTTGCCAAATTCACTCAGTACCAAGAAACATTGAAAAATTCATCTCACTTTATGTCTACTCTTGCTGAGACAGGTAAACCTAATACATGTCTTCTCTCATCTTTCTCAAAGTGGTCATTGATTATGGTGCCACATATCATATGACAGGTAATCCTAATCTTTTTTCCACTTTTCAGCCACAAAAATCTCCTTCCAATGTTACTTTAGCTAAAGATTCTACACATTCAATTCTTGATTCTAGCACTATTAATCCAACTCCATTAATTTTCTTATCATTCGTCTTAAGTTTACCATAATTTTCATTTAATTTAAAGTCTGTGAGCAAACTTACTTAGACCTTAAATTGTTGTGTCTCTTTTTTTCCTGACTACTATCTTTTTTAGGATCTTATGACGAAAAGATTATTGATAAAGGACATGAATCAAGTGGCTTCTATGTTCTGGATACACAGGTGCCCAAGTCCATTGCGTGTTCAGGTTTCTCAACTCCCTTTGAAGCTCATTGTTGGTTGGGACATCCATCTTTATCGTTGTTTAAGAAATTATGTTCTCAATTTCAGAATGTATCATCTTTAGATTGTGAGTATTGTCGGTTTGCAAAACATTATCGTTTGTCTTCAGTTCATCGAGTCAATAAAAGAGCCAGTTTTCTTTTTCAGTTAGTTCATTCAGATGTTAAGGGTCCTTGTTTTGTTGTATCCAAAACTGAATTTTGATAATTTGTTACCTTTGTTGATGATTTTTCTTGCGTGACTTGGCTTTATTTAATGAAAAATCAGTCTGAATAAGTTTCTCATTTTAGTGCCTTTTGTGCTAAAATTAAAACACAATTTAATGTTACATACATTGTGAAGTGATAATGCCAAAGAATACTTTTCCGATTATTTCCAAACTTACACACTTTGGAATGGTATTCTTCATAATCCTTGTCTATTGACATACCCTCTCAGAATGTAGTGGTTGAAAGGAAAAATAAACATTTTCTTGAAATAGCTAGGGCACTCTCGTTCCAACGACAATTTTGGGTTGATGCAGTGTCCACAACCTGTTTCTTGATTAATCGAATGCCTTCATTTGTTCTTCATGTTGAGACGCCTTATAGTGTCATTTTCCCTACTAAACCCTTATTTTCTATTGAACCTATAATATTTGGTAGCACTTGTTATGCTCGTGATGTTCATCCCCATGTAACTAAATTAGACATCAAATCCTTAAGATGCATTTTTTTGGGTTACTCTCGTCTACAAAAAGGGTACCGAAGCTATTGTCCGAGTTTTAACAAGTATCTTGTATCAGCTGATGTCACCCTTTTGGAACATATTCCTTTCTTTCCCACTTCTTATACTTCTTCCAGTAAGGATGAGGATGATGATCTGTTGATTTATCAGGTCACTTACCAGTCCAATAATGTTGCTTCTACACTAGTTCTTACACCACCACCACATATTCACCAGGTGTATTCCAAATGTCAAAACCATCCTGATGCATGTTTGCACTTGACTCCTCTTCGGCATCGGATCCAGTGTCCAGTGATCTTGATCTATCTATCACTCTTCGCAAAGGTAAACAACATTGCACTTATCCTATTTCATCAATTTTTTTATAATCACTTGTCCTCTTCTTTTTGTTCTTTTGTTGCCTCCATAGACTCTGTGACTCTACCAAAAACTGTTTATGAAGCCTTATTCCATACAGGTTGGCGTGATGCTATGATAGAGGAGATTAGCGTTTTAGATGCTAATGGTACTTGAGATTTAGTAACTTTACCTGTAGACTATTGGATGAAAGTGGGTGTTTGCAGTCAATTCAATTCTGATGGATCAATGTCTAGACTTAAAGCATGTCTTGTGGTTAAAAGCTATGCTCAGACTTATGGTGTGAATTATTTAGACACTTTCTCCCCTGTAGCTAAATTAAGATCTATCCGTTTATTCACTTCTTTGGTAGCTACTCATAATTGGCTTTTACATCAATTAGATATTAAAAATGCTTTCTTATATGGTAATCTCCAAGAGGAAGTTTATATCGAGCAACCACCTAGGTTTGTTGCTCAGGGGAAGTATGAGAACATGTATCATCTTTGAAAGTCCTTATATGGCTTTAAACAATGTCCACGTGCTTGGTTTGAAAAACTTAGTCAGGCAATGGAAAAGTTTGGAATGCAAAAAAGCGAGTTTGACCACTTAGTCTTCTACAAACGTTCCGACATTATTTTCCTTGTTGTGTATGTTAATGATACTGTTATTACTGACAGTGATAATATGGGAATCTCATCTCTAAATTCCTTTCTTCACGCTCGATTTCATACGAAAGATTTAGGAGTTACGAAGTATTTATTGGGAGTTGAAGTAACAAGAGGCAAGAAAGGTATTTTCTTATCTCAGAGAAAATATGTGCTTGACTTGTTAATTGAGATAGAAAAGTTGGTAGCTAAGTCAACAGGTGCACCAATGCTTTCCAATTTGCAACTTATCAAAGATGGTGATTTATTTGAAGATCCTGGAAAGTATAGAAGACTGGTTTGGAATTGAACTACCTGATATTACATATTTTGTCAGTGTTGTAAGTCAATTCATGTCATCCCCAATAGTTCACCATGGAGCAGCTTTAGAACAGATCCTGTGTTATTTAAAGGGAGCTCCTGGATGTGAGATACTGTACATAAATCATGGACACACTCACATCGAATGCTTTTCAGATGTAGATTGGATAGATTCCAAGATTGATCACAGATCCGCTACTGGCTACTATGTTTTTGTTGGAGAAAATCTGGTCCCATGGAAAAGTAAAAAGCAAAATATTGTGTCCCGATCCAGTGCAGAATCAGAATATAGAGCTATAACACAGTCTGTATATGAGATAATGTGGATATATCAGCTCTTAATTAAAGTTGGTCTTAAGGTTTCAATACCAGCAAAGTTGTGGTATAACAATCAAGTTGTTCTTCATATTGCTTCTAATCCTGTGTTCCACAAGCGAACTAAGCATATTGAGATTGGCTATCATTTCGTTTGTGAGAAGATGCAGAAAAATTTAATCTCTACAGGATATGTGAAAATTGGAGAACGATTAGGAGATATTTTCACAAAAGCTCTAACTTGGACTCGAGTTGATTATATTTGTAACAAGTTAGGCATGATTAATAGAGGGTAATTATAGAGATTCCTAATTTGTAAATTTTCCTAATATAGAGCTCTAACTATGTATATATATGTATCTCTTTATATGAATGTGAATAAGAAAATATTTTCTTCCTTAAATCTTTTCATAATTCTGCTAGACATTGTTTTGATTATATGCGGACGAGAGAACTATGGAAATGGTGAAATGGTTGGAGACGAGGATCAAGTTCAAAATGATTGATCAAAATCAATAATGTAGAGTTATTATCCATGTATCAAGTTACATAATTTATAGTCTTAATTTTAAATTTGGCTTCTAAGGTCACTAATAAGAGATAGAGCCACATGCACATGTCAAGTCAAGAAAAGTAAGTGGTTTCCTCGAAATATTGACTAAAGCGCGAAGAACATTAGTAAAACATGTTGAATCAGTATACCACTTTTATTGGCACCTGTATAAGAATTAGTGAGAAAAATGTACGTTGTACATTAGTTGATGAATGTTAAATATAAGTGTACGATGGTTGTTGAAGGGACATGCACAACATTACTTTATAAATTGAAATTCAATAAAATGGACACAAGAAAGACCTGCAAGCAAATTGTAAAAAATTATCGTTGTTCGTTGAATCCACCCATCAACAATGTCCTTGTAAGAATAAATATACACGGAGAAAAGAGTCCATTATTTGCAAGTTCAAACAATTCGTACGATTAGTCATCCAAACAAAGCATAAAATTATTTAAAAAATCACATTAACTCATTGAATAACTTTTAACAAACTATGGATGTAATTTCATTACTCACCCAACTTTTGAAGCACAATTTTCAACTAGATGGCGACATTCATAAATCAAAAATGTATTTGGTTAAACAAAAAAGTTATTATCCCGATGCATTAGTTGTTCAAGGTTATGAACAATAAATATCTTGCAATGATGACTCAAAAAAATCAAAGAAAAATAAAAATCCTTTCATAACCTTGTTCATTATAGGGAGAAGAAAGAACAAAATGAAGGCATCAAGTTAAGGTATAGCAGTCCCGTGATAAAGTTACACACTCGATTTTCGAACCATCAACTCTAAAAACACTCCCACCCACAATTTAGTTTGTTTAAAAAGATTTGAATGTTGTTTCCAACACATTTAGGTGCTTGTTATTTCTCTTCTACAATCCCCAACTCTAAACCTACAAGAAGATGAAGGAAAAAACATTACAGAGAAACAAGAAGAGCTTGTCAACATTCAAATGCCTATTTAGCTCTATTAGATACATAATTATAACTTTCGAAGATATCCCAATAAAAGAGAAGTTGCTTTTGTAGGAATATTTCATCTTGTTGACTATTCATTATTCAAATCACTAATTCGGGGCAATAAAGAGTACATTAATATTAAGATGACTGAGGTTAGAGCAAATAAATAGGAAAATAAGAAAGTCCTAAAAATGAGATGATATTTCTAGTAATAGGGAAAAGGACTTCATGTTGATTAAATTTTAAAATATTTCTCTGTGAACCCTTCCAAGGAAGTCGATCGGTGTAGGTAGGATTAAAAAAAGCAACCAATTTACTACGATACACATGAAAAAAGTTTTAAGCATTAATATCATGAATCATGCTGACGATATAAATGCTTTTTCTTTCTTTTCGAACTTGAAAACCAGTAAACGAAAAGAGTAATGAGATTGAAATTTATCAAGTCACCAAAAGTCATATTTCCATTCATAATCTCCTTGAGAATAAAAGAACTTAGTTGCAAAGTGTTGTGCTAGATATCAAATTTTGACCAAAGTTTAAATAGGCAAAGCTTTGTCGAGATTTTAATGCAACATGACATATTAAAAATATATTATATCATCTATTCAAATCCACTCTATTAGAATTGCAAATAATAGAGTAGGCATATAAGGCGAGACGTGATCGAAATACTCTCCAGCACGTAAAACGTACTAAAAGCAAGCAATTTGATGTCAAAATAATTTTTAAGGCTCTATGAAACATCCAGACCATTGCAATTATAAAAATGTTCAACCTCTCAAAGAGTTATCAACAACGACCTTAATGCTTTTTTTTCCTCCCCCTTTCAACTCCTCAAGTTTACCTCCATTGTTCACATCTCATGTCTCATTCATTTCCATTTTATTCCAAGTGGAAAGTGAGAAAGAATTTTTTATTTATCCAAAATTAGATCCATTTGGTAAATTCTTTCTCTTTCTCCCACAATATGTAGTTACCATTTCTCTTTTGATTTCATTCTTCTTCCTTTGATATTTTTGGGGTCGCTGTCGTAGCGGAAGATTATAGGGAAAATGAATAAATCTCACAAGATAAAAACTCACGAAAATTTTTATTCCTGTTAATGAATGCGGTTACAAAGAGCTTACAATACTTTAGGATTTGCTTACTAGAGGGACGGAGAGTTCAGCGGTGACTATGGAATGGGCTATATCAGGCTCCTAAAGAAGCCGAAAATATTCAACAAGGCAACTGACTAGCTTGATCAGGTTATAGGCCAGAACACGTAGGTACAAGAAAAGGACATACCAAGCTTACCAAATTACCTTACATAGAGTCCATCGTCAAAGAAACCATGTCTCTGCACTCTGTGGCACCAATGTTGGTGCCACGATTATCCTAAGAACACTGCAAAGTTGCTGGCTATGACATTTAGAAAGGAACAAGAGTGTTGGTCAACGTATGGACTATTGGAAGAAAACCTGCACTGTGGGAGAAACCAAGCGAATTTAGGCCAAAGAGGTTTATTGGGAAGGATATTAATGTAAAAGGACTGTCACTTGCCTGTTGCCCAAGCGACATGATTATGCGGCCCAAGCCCCTTTTTACGTTTTTTTCATATATATATACTCATACAACATTTTGAGAGTTTCAGATCTTAATTGTAAGTATTGAAAACTTATTGTAAACACAATTATTATTGATTATAGTGTATTTCTCCTATTTTCTCTGTGAATTTTTCCCATCTTGGGTTTCCACATTTTGCTCTTCATTATTGTCATTATCTTGCGATCAATTCATAATAAGTGGTATCGCAACCATGTTGATTATTTCTCATGGTAACAAAAATATGATATTCTGTTACTGGATCGGAACACAAAATTTACTTTATGGCAAGTAAAGATGAGAGCAATTCTCATGCAAATGGATTTGGAGAAAGCCTTTCTTAGCATTGATAAGATGCCTTCAACCTGAAAGCTTGGATGAAAAGCAGTGTAGGGATTGAAAAGCCCAATCCAAATTCATCTATATCTATCAAATCAAATTCTTCAGGATGTTCTAAAAGAGAAAAGTATCGCTGCGTAGTGATTGAAATTGAAGCAACTTTGTATGACAAACAGTTTGACCAGCAAGTTACACTTGAAAATAGGGCTCGTATTCTCACCAGATGTCCGAGGAAGCATTATCAGATTATCACTTAACTATGTTCAAAGAAATTGTGGCTGATTTGGAAACATTGGAGGTTAAGTATGATGAAAAGGATCTGGCGTTAATGTTATTGTGTTAATTGTCGCTATCGTATGTGACTTTTAGATATACTATTCTTTATAGTCGAGATACTCTTACTATGAAAGAGGTCTATGATGCTTTACTATCTAAGGAGAAGATGAGACATCTTGCTGGATAATCTAGAAGTCAGGCTGAAGGCTTTATTGTTCGTGGGAAAAATAAAGATAGGAATCTTGGTAGGAGTATAAGGCACAGATCGAAATTTAAACATGTGAAGAAAGTATGTCATTACTGTAAGAAGAAGGGATATATTAGAGCTGATTGCTATTTACTGAAAAACGAAAATAAAGCTACTAGTACTATCGAAAAGGGAAAGAAACTTGTTAATACAGTGAAGGCTGGTGTCGTGGAAGATGGGTAAAGTGAACGAGAGCTTTTTGTGATTTAGAACATGGATTCTAAACTTTGTGAGGAATGGATTCTTGACTCGGTATGTACTTTTCATATGTGTCCCAACAATGACTATTTTACAACATATGAAAGAGTTTTGAGAGGTGCAATGATTATGAGAAACAAAAGGCCTTGCAAAATTGTCGAAATTGGTACAGTGAGAATGAGAATGTTCGATGGCGTTACCAGATTTGAAATTGGTACAGTGAGAATGAGAATGTTTGATGGCATTACCAGAATGCTTACAAACTTCAGGCATGTTCCAGAACTGAAGTGAAATCTCATATCTTTGAGTACATTTGATTCAAAGGGTAATAAATACACTGACGAATGTGGAGTTTTTAAGGTAAGTCGAAGCGCTCTTGTTATCATGAAGGGATAGAAAAACTCTACACAGTTGTATATTTTGCTTGATTCCAGAATTATAGGAGATGAAACAGTTTCTACTTCTTTTTTTATTGATGAAAAAGTTACTAAACTTTGGCATATGCGACTTAGGTATATGAGTGAGATAAATATGACATAATTCAGTAGGAGGAAACTCTTGATGGATAGAAGACCAGTAAGATGAAGTTTTCTGAGCATTGTATATTTGAAAAATAGAAAAGAGTCAAATTCACTAAAGGAAGACACAACACGAAGGGGATACTTGAATATATCCATTCAAATATTTGGGGACTGGTCAGGGGTGCCTTCAAAAAGAGATGCTCATTATTTGTTGACAGTAATTGATGATTTCTCCAGCAAAGTTCCAGTATTCTTCTTGAAACAAAAGAATGACGTGTTTGGGACCTTCAAGGAGTGAAAAACAATAATAAAAAAGCATATTAGAAAGCAGGCGAAATGTCTATGCATAGACAATGGGTTGGAGTTTTGTTTGGATGAATTCAACAACTTCTGCACGGTTGAAGAAATCTTTAAGTGATTGCTCGTGGTTATATTGTAGTGAGCAAAAGTTGATACTAAGGATAATCATATTGATATGATGACAAAACTAATTTTCATTGCTAAGTTTGAGCGTTCTTAAATTTAGTTAGTGTTTGTCATTGATCTAGCCTATTAGGTTTGTTTGGAAGAGGAGTGGTGTTTATTTTGGATATGTATTTTTTGGAAATCATTGTGTTAAAATTTGGTTTAAGGTGGAGATTTGTTGTAATGTAATCAAAATTCTAGAGTTTTAAATGAAATGGTCTTGAAGAAATCAAAATTAAGGAATGAAAAGAAAAGTTGCCACATTTCGCTAACCTGCCACTAGCTGACCACTCTAGTAGTACCTACATATTTTCTACAAAGATTGTCGCTCGCCTGACGCTCAAGTAGCTTGAGCAACAAGATTATTCGATTGAAGCCCATTTTCATGTGTTGACACATTCTTTGGATTGCTATTTATCTACAATTTAGTTTCTAAGGTTATATACATACACACATAATTACTATTAATTATAGTGAATTTCTGATAAAACTTTTGACAGTGAAAAAACATAAATAATAAAGAAATTTATAACAATCCCTTTGGCCAATATTTTGCTGGTTCTAATATTATAATCGACAACCTCGCTCGTCAAGAATTGTGCCCCTATGTTGCGCTTGGCCATTTGGGAGATGTCTGCAACCATGAGATTGAATCTGATTGCTTGAATATTGTTCAAGCTGTGAACAATCCATCTAACTGAAGTATTGTTAATTTATGACGCTCTTCGATGTTTTGTTCCTTAGTTCGAGTTGAAGGTAATAGTCAAAGATGCTCTCTCTCCTTTTGATTTTATTTTGGGCTTTATTGATGACCTTGTAATTCGCGAGTGGAGTTCGTGTTCGGGCCAAAACCATCATGCTGAGAGTCATTCTGCGAACGGCAAAGCTCAAAGATTCCAATTTTCACCCCCACTCTCCGTCACGTTGCCATTACAGTCGACGCTTCTTCTCCACCGACTCGCCGCAGGCGTCCTCCGAGTTGCCTCGAGTTGAATCACTTGTCAGCGGCTGTGATTATCAACACTGGCTCGTTGTCACGCACTCACCCCCTCATAATTACCCACAAAGAGACCAAATTATTCACCATTACATAACCACACTCTCTATGGCTCTTGGAAGGTAAAGTTTTTTCTCCAAATTATCAAGGAAAAAATATTTTTTTTTTAGTTTATGTTTTCTGTATATATTTGTCCTCTTTTAGTGAGTTTCATAATACAAATGGGGCTTTTGTTTTTCAATTTAATGTATGTTTTGTAGTTAAATATTAATGTCATATGGTATTTTGAGCAGTGAAGAGGCAGCAAAGAAATCTATATACTCAGTTTCAACCAAATATTACTATGCATTTAGCTGTAAAGTCCCGGAGAATCTGACTCATAAGATCAAATGTAAATTTTCTGGAGTACTATCTAATTTTTCTTGCTTTTGTTTTAGTATTAAAATTTTTGAACATATAGTGCTTACTTGGTAATCAGTATTATACCGTGCTCTCGAATGTCGTCTAATCCAACTCATCAATCATGCCAATAACTTGTTAATACAAATAATACTACTCCTTTGCAGCCCTCCCAGGTGTAAAATGGATTTTGCCAGACTCTTACTTGTATCCTGATGAAGATGGATATGGAGGTACTTCAAGCTCTTTCTGATTATATTCTTTCTTTCTAAAAATATTGTCACAGTTTAATTTATCAATGGTCCTTGCTAATTGAAACCTTGATGATCGACGAGATTGAAAAATATTTTACCAATATATGCTGTTAAGGTTGTGTTCAATTGATTTAGCAGATAAGCACTACTCATATTTTTAAGAGGAACTTGACTTGAAAGGTCTATTTTGGAATCGGAGGGTAAGTTTCAATAACTCAATTCTTGATATCGATATTCAATATTCTCCTCATGGGAAAACTGTACTGCTATATATACTTGAAACCCCTGTAGATAAAGAAAGCTACAAGACTTAAAAATAATAATAATAGTACAAAAAATAAAAAAAAATCCTATAAATGATACCTGGAAACTGTGGAAAGGAAATAAATCAAACACAGAGAAATCCTCAAAGCGAATCCAAATTTCTTTCCCTAAAATAATTATCTAATATTCGTAAGTCTTTGAAAATAATATCCATTAGAATTTCCATCATAATGCTTTCTTAATTTGTTTATTTAAGAAGAGCCACTTTTTTGCCAACTAGTTTATGGTTCAAGCGAGAAACAAGTTGATTAGACCTCTAGACGGATAAAGATGTGAAGATTGGTGGGATTTGCCAGCAAGTGGTAGGGGCAAGGCTGCTCAATCTCAATTGGGGTCAAGTAGGCATATGGATCCTTATGCTAACGTTTAGTTGTGATATTGGGGTTCAAGTGGCCATTTTAACTTTATATGTTGTTAGTTTCCTTCAAAAAATAATCTGCCTTGATGGATGTTTATTTTCTCTCCATAGTCCATCCAAAACGTATACCTGGCTATTTCTATATCTTTATCACATTGTGCATTCAATATTTGCTTAATTTGAAAGTTCAATTTTGGAGTTAATGATCTATAAGATGACATTGATAGGAAGATAGGAAAATACTCGAATAACAGGTATATTGTTGGTCTCGTTCAGATAAACCATAATACATACAGGTGCAATGTGATTTGTCTTCATGTTTATACTATTTTTTATGTTTTGAGTCTCCCATCTCGTCCTAGCATATTTGGCCTAACTTGTATTGCTATGTAAGTTGATCTTATGATTTAATCAGGACATATTTACTCTTTAGGGGAACCATTGGTTGATGGAGAGGCAGTTTCTTACGATGAGAAGTATCATTCTAACTGGTCACATAATGAATGTGACATCGGACCTACTGACAGAAGTTGGTCAAGCAAAACCAAGAAGAAAAATGGAAGAAGGCATAACTAGTTCAATGGAAACGGGTGGTTTAATCAAAGACACCTTAAATATGCTGGGTTGATGTCAAAGTTTGCAGTCTGCACTCGGATCTGGGGTGCTTCTGCAGAGTCATATATCAAATGGATTCAGTTGAATGTTTTCATGTCGATTCATGTTTTCATTGACACGTTTACTTTCATCCCTTGCCCAAAGCCACTTTGCATGTTATCAATTCATGGTTCGTATTGCTCCCCGGGGCATAGGTCAGTGGTACAAAGGACAGGAGTGAGATTATCTCACGCCTTGTTGGCAGTCCAATGTGGGGGTTCGATTCCTGAGACATGGAATTGGACTCCTTGTAGGTGCAGTGTACAGACAGCTCTTGTTTCCTGACCTGTTGGGGGCACATCTTGCGATTTATTTTCCTCACAAAACTTTAGAGGCGGGACGGTGGGATCCCCAAGGTTGAGGTTCAACTTTTATTTATTTATTTATTATTATTATTTTTTTTTTATAATAATCCATGGTTAGTACTGTTTGTGTAGAAAATATTGATTGTAATTTCGTTTTATATTGGGTTGATTGTACTGGCGGTAACGTCTGAGACGTTGGATTCTCCCTTGTTATTTAGAAGCTTCTTCTCACCAACTCTCTTGCTTTTTTTTTTCCCCCACAAGAAAATAGAGCATCAAAAGTCAGCTACAAGTTGTTAAGTTGTTACAATCTCATTTGATAAGTATGTTTGACTAATGTTGCCTGATCCACACAATTTTATAAAGTTTTAAAAATGGTTTGTGCCCATTATTTGTGAATAACATATTATGAAATAGTGATTGATATTGAAATGTGTAGTTAAAAAAGAATGAAATTTTTTTGATTTATGTGTAATGTTATTTTAATGAAAAATGTGGTAGAAAATGAGTACTGTAGAAAAAATAATGTAGTAGAATGGTAGACAAACAAAGCTTAATACTCAAGTTGGTTCTTCAAAGTTCAAATGGAAACTTAAAATTTTGACAAATAGATGGTGTGACTTGAATTTAAGATCTTTGAGATCTTTATTTATGCAGTATTACTGTTTCGGGTAAAGGTTAGTCCTATTGGGGAAAAAAAAAGACAAAAAAAGGAAAATTTCAAATTCAATTAACAAACAAGTTGTGAAAAGGAAAAATTGAAGTTTATTTTCAAATGTAACTTTAGCCTAACAAACATTGTGTAGACTTTTGTTGCCCTGATATTTGCTTCATGAGACTATTCCATACACAGACCCACCTCTCACATTTCTTTAGCCTGGAGGACAATGCAAACACACAATCTTTGTCCTAATTATAGAAAAATCACAAACAATAAGGTAAGTTTAATTTAAAATGCTCTACAAACGGATATTTTTTCGATTGCATTTTTGTAGGATGTCGCTGATTTTATTGAGTTAGTAAAAACAAAGTTACAACTTAAAGTGTGATAGTACAAATACTGTCTCAAAAATAACAGTTGAGCAAAGGATGCCAAATAAGGGAATTGGAATGAAATTAGAATGACTTTTGAAGATTTGTGTTGTGGTGGTATGCATGATTTATAAGCTTCTGAGTTGTGACATAGCATAAAAACAACATTAAATAGAAACAGAGGAGAAATTGCAGTAAAACGATACAAAAGAAACAACGTGAATACATCAACTACACACATACATTAATAATTTTCAACAATAATTAGCATCCCTCAGGCTGAGGTCCTTGTTCTTGGGAGATTCTCTTTTGTTCTTTATAGTTCTGTATAAAGCAGTATCAGAGTATACAGCACGAGACCTGATTCGATGCCTGTGCCTATAACCTTTCTTTTTCTTTACTTCCTCCTTTTCTTGATGTCCTTGATTTCCATTCCCATTCAGTTTGGCCTCATTTTCATCATGTTCATTTGTCTTTAGATTGACCTCTTTCTCTTTGCCTTCTAGGGAAACAACACCCACAGAGGACCCAACTGGGATATTGTTGAACTGTAGGGTAAGTTCCAAGATTTTCACCACATTGTTCATCGTTGGCCTGCTTTTGGGAAAGTGGCTCAAGCATTGATAAGCCAGTTCAGCTACTTTCTTAGCACCTTCAGTTGAGTATTGACCTTCGAGTCTTGAGTCCATTATTCTATCAAGATTACGGGAATCCTTCAAAAGAGGCCTTGCCCATTCCACCAAGTTTTGCTCTCTACTTGGACGGTTCTTATCCACTGCCCTTTTTCCTGTCAGCAATTCTAATAGAACAACTCCAAAGCCGTATATATCATTCATCGTTGTCAAATGACCTGGATTCTGTAAGTATTAGAGACATATTTCATGCTGCTATTCAAAAATAAAATCCTTATTTGAAAATCAAGTTCATATGTTACCAGTCATGACATATTCAGGAGCGGCATAGCCATGGGTGCCCATCACACGTGTTGAGACATGTGTGTCATCTCCTTCTGGTCCATCCTTGGCCAGTCCAAAATCCGAAAGCTTAGCAGTATAGTCCTGGTAAATATACCGATCTTGACAGTATTAGATGGTGGGAAGGGGAAATTTAGCATAAATATAACATGATTGAACAAACTATTGGAAATGGGACAGGAAGTTACAGAATCCAATAGGATATTTGAAGTCTTGAAATCCCGGTATATTACTGGTTGATCTTCCCCGTGAAGAAATGCCAGTCCTTTTGCAGCACCAACTGCAATTTTTATCCTTGTCAACCATGGCAAGGCAGTGGAATACCCTACAGCAGTCAAAAATATATATATTGTCAATTTTTATTCCAGATGATGTTTAAATTCTTTACACGAACCATCATCTTCAATTATATGTAGACTTACTTCTGAATAATTGATTTTCGAGGTTGCCTCTGGCCATATATTCATATACAAGAAGCCTGTGTTCATCCTCACAACAATATCCAATCAACTTCACAAGATGGGGATGCCTCAATTGCCCAAGTAAGATGACTTCAGTCTATAACTTGAAATAAAAATATGAATCAAGACTAGATTCAAGAAATTTTCTAGTATCTAATACAAGGTCAAGGGGGAAAATGAAGAAAAAAGTGAAAAAATTTGACGAAAGCAGCATGAGGTATTTCAAGCTGAATTATCACCAGCCACTCTCGATGACCTTGAGTGCCATCCAGATCGAGTAACTTGACAGCAACAGGCTGAGCCCTAAGCCCAGGCCCGAACTTGTCGTCAATGAATCCTTTGTGCACTGGTCCAAAACCACCTTCTCCAAGAAAATTACTTGACGAAAAGTCATTAGTAATCAGTTTGAGTTCTGTTAGTGTGAAAATGTGTAGATTTGATCCGACAAGAGAGTTAGAAAGGTCACTGGCAGAGAGTAGGGAACCGGAATCACTTATATCAGAAAGTGATAGCCTCTTATCAGAATTTTGTTTAGAAACTCGACTTTTGGAATCCAGAGTGAGGCTCTTGAACTGGAAACAAGTAGGAAGGAGAGTTTTCCATGTAATCTTGAAAGCCATAGTGTATCGTAACTGATCAAACTTCTTTCTAGAATCCCAGGTGTATAAATATGCGTGTGTGGGTGCAAGGTAAGAAGAGAGCAGAAAAAAGTGTGTGGTCACAGATATGTTGGCAGCCAAATATCGTGGTTTTGAATGCTGAGCTAATACATATAGTACCGATAAAATCCATCCTATTTTTTCCTGTTTGCCAATATTAATAAGTTGATCAACATGGAAATCTTTTAAGCCCATTTGGTAGCAATTTTTTCACCCAAAAATCAATTTTATGATCGTTATTTTACTATTTCAACCGTCATTTTTGACTTCTTCACTTACAAATGGAATCTATTTTACCTCTAACGGTCAAAAAATTAATTCTCATAATTATAACCGAACAAGCCATAAATCTAGATGGAGATGATTGAGTCCATCTTCAATAGAAATATTTGGAAGTCTTGAGTTTTTCTATCGAACATGTTCATTATACAATATTGTATTTGTTTGAGTATGAGACAACAAATATTTTTGTCGACCCCGTAAATTGGTCTTTCGACGTGGTCAACTAAAAGCTACTCCAATTGTTCCTCCCTACACACAATAACAAATGGTTAGGTGTATATGGCCATTCCCAGCTGTGGTGGTGGTCACATACACTCCGACGATTAAGTTAGTTGACGATAGTGGTGATTTTTGTCGGAATACGCAAACTTGGGGGAGGAGAAAATGTATAGCCAAGCTTTGGGTATTTATAAGCAAAAGGCGTTGTCAGATGCAAGACACGTGGACTCATTCGACTGTGCGATGAGTCTGCTCGTAGGCGTCCATCAGCCACTTCCTGGGTGGGCAGACAATCAATTCTTCTGAATAGGGATTGACATTTGACAGAAATATCACATCCATCATTTTAGAGATATGGACATAAATCTGGCCATAAGATTTGTTCATGAAACAGGCGACAGAGATGTGCTTATCCTCTTCTTCGTTGTGTATTGCCTCGGTTAAACATGCTTCAGAGAGCTAGGCCTCAATAAATGTAAACGCCTCGGACCTTGTCACTTCGGAACATCAATGCCTCGGTCAACATCATACCTAATGCGCCTCAGATGCGTCTGCCCCTAGATGCACGATGTGCTCTGTGAGGAGGCGTAACAATTTTCTTAATAATCTCGTCAAGGACTATGCAATATGAATTATGCTATTTGTGTTGGGTTGTGCGCCCAACATTGTATGGTTTTGTTGATATAAAAATAACAATATTCTTATATCAAATAAAATTGTTTTTCCTTTACTTATTGCATTTATTTATCTTTGAGCATGCAAACTAAAGTGCCTACGATCATATCTGAAAATATAAGTTGGGTACTTCATACTTGAGTTGAGAAATATAATGAGATACAACTTTTATTTTGATAATAAATAATTTGTTCACAATCAATATATAAGTATTGACACCTAGTACTAGAATGTTGTAATGTTGATCGATTCACTATTCAGGTTTGTGATTTATTTTTATCACAGAAATAGTTAAAGGTTACACTAGTACACTTGGAGTGTATTGAACGGACCACATATTGAGTTTAATTCTATAGCGTGATCATGCAGAGAATTAAATTCCACTACACTGCTGTGCATTTTATCTAAATTCATTGACAAGATTACATATATCTTTTCGTAATTTTAGTGGTTCTTAATTCATCAATAGGTGAGATCAATTTGATTGATCAAATATCTAGATGAGTTTGGAACTTGAGAATGAGTGAAATAGAGAGCAAGAATTCATGTCGGGAACCTTTACCCTGAAAATTGGTAGAGTGATTATTTAAGTATTTTCTATCGAATGATTAAAATCCGAGTTCTGTATTTAGCGATAGCTAAACTTCGACATATGTGATTATTTTATAGGACTATTGAAGAAAATAATACTTAAGTTAGTGAAAATAATTAAAAGGGCAAACACGGTCATTTATGTTCATAACTAATTATCAGATCTCAGATGGAAATAAAATACATATACAACTCAGGCTGAACAAGAAACCGCCAAAACGAATCGAAACTGTTGGTTTGGTTCCATGTGTATCCGTCAACGTTTTTGTTTTGAACCAAACTACTTCGAAGTGATTTAGTTTAGATTTTAATTTTTGCAAACCGTTTCAAACCACCAAACCA